TGGTTGGCGTGCTGCCGGACTAGCTCTTTGCTGCTGTCCGGCGCACTCTGAGTGGCCGCCTCTCAGAAATGTCAAAAAGGACAACGTTATGGTGAAACATAGTTAGGTAGTCCTCCGTCTGTCAGGTGGTCACGATGCAAGTCCGATAATGCCGACGTAAGCGCAGGGAAGAATTGCCTTCAGGCAGATCATGTTCATCAACAGGCACAAGTCCGACGTGCGGGATCCAGGTACGCCTCATTCGGCTTTGAATACTCGAGCCAATCAGGTCAACGCGCAATCTTTTCAAATTTGCAGCATTGCGAATATCACACACGCTGCCCACCTACCTATCCAAGGAACGCTGCAATACCGAAACGACCATTTGTAAAACAGCCCACGAATCACCAGCTATTCTGCACGCACCGCTTACAGAACGATTGCGCAATGCTTCAAATGCTATTATCTAACGAGTTTACTCGATATCGTGGTGTTGTCTTACGCAGCCTTGGACACGTACGCTTATCACAATATCACCCGTCCAGGTTCTTCCCTTGAAAACAGAACTCTCCATTGTGAACTCTTCTCGCTCATCCGTCGGAATACTCATCCACCAACCAGGAACCTTTTTGCATTCCATGACCTTTCCCATTTGTCATCTAGCTGTCAATCTTTCCATCCGTCATTCGATCACTACCCTTTATCCCTACCCCCCTCCCTTCCCTTGATATTCAACTTCGTCTGACGAACCTCCCCCTCCCATACCCTTCCCGATACCCCTCCATCCCTTTACCGGTCTCCCTCTCTCTCATTGCTTGTCTCCTCCCCTCCCTAGCTCTCTCCCTGCCACACTGCCTGCACCACCCACATTCGCCATCAACCCACAGCGTCTGACTCATCCTCCTCCCTACCGGACACGCCTTGATGGGCTCAAGCGACCTAGCGTAATGGCACAAGCGCAGGTAAGGGTAGCAGGGCGCAGGTGGGCAATGACAGGAGGATGAGGTGCTAAAGAGTACTATGCACATTGAAGGCGTAGGTGTTGGTTGGTTCGTGCTCGTGAGGTACGGTAGATAGTGGGTATGTATGTATGTATGTATGTATGTGTATATGTACGTCCACTGCTACGTGTTCAAGATGTTGCAGAAGCTGTGTGCCGTACTAATGACTCCTCTGCGTATGTACTCACGACCGAACGTTGGACCTTGATTGCTGATCAGATTGTAAGAGAATCTCAAGTTAGCAGATATGTAACAACTGTCAACGGAGCAAAACAATTATTTCGACTGAGCAAGATTTCTTGTTGGCTCACCTCTACTCATCTATCTTATTAACAAGTCATGTTTTTGAACAATGCCTCAATCCCCCCTTTGCAAGATACGCGAGAAAGTGAGGAGGGAATCAAGCTAGGCGATTGTTCTGTGCAACAAGCACGCGTTTTGGCCAACTAGTTGTCGTTTGACCAAACCAACAGCGGAGCAGGTATCGCCAGTTACCATTGGAAAGACATGAGCATGCGCGGTCGCAGGGTTTTGTTGCGCTGCAGGTAAAACATCCATCTCTGGGTAGCGGGACACCCTGTGTGGCGGGACGGTACAAACACTTGCCAGCACTACGTGCTGCGCTGCGCCTAGCTAACACCATTAGAAGAACACGTCTCTACTAAGAATGCAATCGCGCACGGCAGAGAGAACAGGCTGCGAATGTGTAACAGTCCGCTAATCTCGTCAGTGTATAGCAATGGTAGGCGCAGCCTCCTCTTGGGCGCCTGAACGAGGGCCTGAACGAGGCTGTGCGCTTGGGATTCAACCTTCAGCATAGTATTTCCCTCTCTGCGTCTTAAGACACTAGAGCCTCATCTGCTCAGGCAAACTATCCTTCATAATCGCAACTTTCGATCATTGTTACTCTTTACGTTGCATTGTTGAGGATCATGGGAAAACAAAGCCGAAAGGCACCTTGGCGCAGGTTTCTTCAACTCGGAACAGCACTGCCGGAAGCGACGAAATGGCGGCACGTCAATGGCGACGCTCTCGAGATGCAAACTCCTCTTACGGCGCAAAACATAGAGAGTCGCCATAGCAGTAGCATCGCGAGCGAATTGAATCGCTCGCGCTCGAGCACATTGATCGAGAGAAGCGTTGTCAGTCGCACACTAGGACGATTGGTGGGCCCTCGATTCGTAGGGTGGCGACTCGGCGTATTACACTTTGGAATTTGGGTTTCGATTGTCTTTGTGCTTAATCTCACCGCGACGATATGGGCCTCTTTAGCTACTAGGAAAGACAGGGGTGTCCTTTTCGAGGGCGAGTGTGTTTTTACAAAACGGCTAAACACTGGACTGCATGTTCTAATCAACCTGCTGAGTGCAATTCTCTTAGCTGGGTCCAACTACACCATGCAATGCATGTCTTCACCCACACGACAAGAAATCGATCGGTCGCACGCATTATCACCTTTTCTTCCTCTCCAGATAGGTATTCCAGGTATCCGAAACCTCACCAAGATCGGACGCCACCGAGCCATACTATGGTGTCTTCTAGGAGCTTCATCTCTCCCCTTGCACCTATTGTAAGTCGCAAAGTCATGTTAGACGCACCAGCTAACAATTGGAACAGCTATAACTCTGCAATATTCAGCTCCCTTTCTTCTAATAGCTATTGGGCGATATCAACGAGCGAGTCTTTTATTACAGACTCAAGCTGTTTGAACTGTCCTGAGATTACCGGGGAATTTCCTTCCGTACTAAATCGCCTTTGGAACAATGCAAGCACCGGCACGCTTGAAAGGCTTGATCCCGCCGAATGCATAGCCAGGTACGCAACGAGTATTCAATCCGCTCAGCGCAACGTCCTGCTTGTTGCCAGCGATGACCAGGTCCTACCCCCGAATGAGAACCCACTTATAAATGGCTCTCACGCCTATGGGCGATGGAAGTTCAGTGCCATGAGCGCAATGGCGCGTGATACGGCTCGCAACTCCTTCGACTGGATATGCTCAGGCATGGATACCAAGAGACCGTGCTCGCTTGGAATCGATGCTATTCGGGACTCATCTGCTGAGTCGTGGCTCATGGGACCCGGAGCAGGATGGCCCGTCAAGTACTGTCTTAGCGAAAGGGCTGATCCAACCTGCAAGCTCCATTTCGAACCGACTATCGGCATTATCGTGACCATACTCAACTTTGGTAAGTTTTCCTTTGAGAGAAAAATACTTATTCGCAGTAGGGCTGCATACGGAGCAGCTAATGAGTGCAAATAGTCAAAGCGGGCGTCATGTTTTACGTAGCGTTCTTCGTTGGAGACGAGCCACTCATGACAATGGGCGACGCAGTCGCATCTTTCCTGGAAAGACCGGATCCTACAAGCAAAAACAGGTGCCTCTGGGCCTTTGCAAATCAAAGAATGTTCAGAGACGGCAAGGGTATCAAGCATCATAGGGTAGGCCCGCAACGCTGGACTTGTCCACAATATCGATGGAGGGATGCTACTAGTCCAGAACGCCGCGTCGTCACTATCTTCATGTAAGAACAAACATCACCTTCCGCGTTTTTCCCCAAGGCCAGAAGCTTATGTTGATCATCAGGTTCTTGCTTGCTCTCTCGGTTGTCACCGCATTCTTAGCCGTCGGAATCACCGCCTTGCCACCAGGCATAACAATCTCACAGCTTGACTTCGGTACGCATACAACCATCTCGAAGCCAGTGGGATAGGCTGAAGAGAGAACCAGCAAAGTTCTGAAAAGTTTCGCTAACGCCGTGTATAGTTGGCCTTGATCCAAGCTCCGCCATCGACATGCGCAATTTTCCAGATTCCCTCGTGCTCAAGGTTGTGCTCGCCAATTTGCCTCAGCTCGTATTCTCTTTGGTCTACTTTTCTTACAATGCAACTCTGACAGCTATGCTTATGGGCTATGAATGGGTATCGTACGCCCACAAACGAAAAGGCCTTCGGGTATCGCACCAGCCCAAGGGCGCTCAGCGCTGCACCTACTTTCTTCAGTTGCCATACCGATTCAGCATACCACTTCTCTCACTAAGCGCTCTATTGCACTGGCTCGTCTCTCAAAGTTTATTCCTCATGTCCATTGATTTTTACGACAGTCTTGGCAGGCCTGGCGACTATTCTCCATACCACCACAAGTTCTTCGGATACCAAACAGTGGGCTTCTCGCCGCCTGCTATTATTGCTGTTTTGGTGTGTGGTGGGCTAATGACGACTAGCATTGTAGTCTTGGGTCACATACTGTACAGGCGCGGCATGCCTGTCGCAGGCACCAGCAGCATGGCCATCAGTGCGGCGTGTCACTTTACGGCTGAAGATGGAGCAAACGAGGGCACTGCATCGAGTGAAAAGTTGCAATGGGGCGTTGTGGCCAGGGCAGAAGACAATGGCCCTGGACATTGCGCATTCTCGCCCAGATCAGTAGAAGCGCCCGTCAAGGGCAGGGTGTACGCGGGCTCTTTCAATCCAGGTCTTTGAATGTTTCAAGATTGGGTTGCTGCAGAAGCGGGAAGTACAGGTACGGGAGTCCTTCGCATATACGACTAATCGCTGCCATGGCTCGAGAGGAACCCTCTAGCCTCGTCTTGCTTAAACTTCCAATCACATGCTCCTAGGGTTACATTTTGCGCGTTGTGCTCGTGCTTAGGCTGACGTAACAAGAGAGCGATGTAGTCACGTCAAGGTACTGCCTCGCTAAGGTTGTCGTGAATGCAATTGTGCAAAACAAGAGAAAGAGTCGGCAACACAAACAGGATAAGTATTATGAAAAAATAAGTTTCCCTCTTGACTAGAGAGGGAGAGAGAGACGGTGCAACAAGCGCACACTGATAGACTTTGACCTAGCAAGCACCGCGTAAAGGACCTCATACGACTAAACAAGATATACGTGGGACCATGGGGGGAGGGAGGGGGGAAAAAGAGAAAAAGGGAAAACATTTTCATCCTCCCACCCTCCCCCAACCCACCACAACATGCCGTAACATAAGAGGTCTAATAAAGGTACTTGGTCAAGACATCCTAAGCCGCCGTATCCATGCCCTCGCTCTTCATCTGTTTGCCCGTCCGTCCACGCGTAACTTCCTTATCCTGCGGACTCCTCGCTCCCTCCTGCTCGTCAGAGCTCTCATCAAACGTGGGGCTCTGGGGCCTACTATCGTTCAGATTACGGCGACTACGTGCCATCCACGACCTCACACCACCAATCAGACCCAGATTGTAGCCGGCCGCGAACTCGGATGACTCCCTGGTACTGTTGATGTTCGCCCTCGGTATGTCCAAGTGGCTCAGCCTACTAATCGCACTTGGGCTCCTCGCAACATTGCCGCCAGATTCCATAGCCTCAGCCTGCGTCTGCTCCCGCGTTGGCGTCCTCGCAGGACTAGCGGGTCTCGACGTGCCGTATTGCCAAAACTGTCTAAAGTCCTTGCTCAGTTCCTGGCCTGTGGTGGTCCAGTTGGCTTTGATGCTGTCGCGCAGCTCGGCCATGGTGCGCTTGACGTCTAGTTCATTCTTCTTGAGCCAGGACACGTTTAGTTCTTTGCGCGAGGTGCCGCGTTTGAGTTGGCGGTCAATGTATTGGTCGTAGTCGCGTACGATCCTGTGTGCATATGTTAGCCTGGCTACTACTTGTCTAACACTGAATGTTCTTAGACTTACTTTGTAATGATACCCGTTGTGCTGAGACCCTCTGTGCGCTGTGTGACGAGGAACATGCCGCGCTCCTTGATGGGACCGTAGATATCATCGCCTTCGTCTGCGCCATAGGGAAGGTCGTCGTGCGCAACATAATCGATATTGTGCTTGAGCAAGAACTCGGCGGTGACGATCCAAGGACAGTCCTCAATCACCTCGTCAACCCACTTGCAATGGCGCACGCTCTCGGCACGCTCCCTCGCCGACAAAACGGTCAGACCCTTGCGCTTGTGCGTCTCCTTGTTGCCGGTAACGCCGACGACGAGGTGGACGTCTGGAAAGGCCGTCTTGGCTTGCTGCAGGGCGCGCATGTGTCCAATGTGGAAGAGGTCAAACACACCGTCTGCGTATATCCTGACCGGTCGGCCCTCTGGCGGCGGATTCGTCTTGTACCCTACAGGATCGACGAGGCCAGCTTTCGGCGGAGGCTCCATGCGCATGCTTCCAGCCTCGCCTCCCTCGCCGTGGTCATCGTCGCCTGCAAGCGAGGATGTGCGGCGGCTCTTCTTGCTTGCGCGCTCATCCTCGTCGCTGTCTTGGTCGCCGTGAGCGCTCTTGACGCGTACCCGCTTCGTCGTCGTCGTCGTCGTCGTCGTGCCATTGGCATTGGCATCGGCCTGGCGCTCCTTCTTGGACGCGACGGCTTGGAGGACAGGGTCCTCGGCACCCTCGTCCGAGGCGTCGCGCGATGAGGGCTGCACAGCGTCCATGGCGTCTTTCTTGACCGACGTTACTGTGGTTGAGCGCTTTCGTTTTGGCGGCATAAGCGTGGGGAGTCCGAGGGCTTCAGGCGGTGAACAAGCAGCAGGACAGTAGGTGCAATTACGGGCGCAATGGGCGGGCGTCTAAGACTAGTTTTGCGAAACCAGCACGTGCAGTGTAGATGGAGGAATGGGCAGGTGAGGAAGTAGGTAGACGTCGGATGCGCAATGTCCAGATATGGGGAAAACGCGGGTGATAACGGTGTCGGGAGACAATGCGCAAGCGCCAATTAGATGGTGGAAGAAGTGACGACGGCGACGCCAACTGAGTACGACAGGAAATACAGGCCAGAACGTCCGAGGAGAAGACGTCGGAATGGTTGAACACGCGTAGAGTACACCTAACATCATCCTAATAAATTTCGCGCTTCCTTGAATCCTGATCTGATCGGCACGGCTTGGCATGACGAAAGTCCGCCCGACGCTCCCTGCGCCACATAGCCAACCCACGTGTGGCATTTGCCATCCTGATTCCTTGCATTTGGCACAATTCCCATGACGCATCTGCATGTGAACAACATCAAGGAAACCTTGCTAACCTACGTAGGAACGGCTGCCTCGTCCAGAGTCCACACCCTTACTTCGCCATCATCACCCGTACTCAATATGACCTCCTCGTCTTCTGACCGCTTGCCGTTGTCTGCTCTCCTCGCCCAACAAACATGGTTGATCTCAAACACGTCGTGCCCTGAGAAGAGTTCCGCGACAACCACCCATTCAGTCAACGACTTGTCCGCATCCCCGTTTTCGGTACCCGGAGCAGCTTGTTGTTCTCTCCACCTCTCCTTGTAGACCACAATCTTCCCATCACTCCCCGCGCTAACAATCAACCCCGTCCTTTGACTCCAACTGACCGAGTAGACGGCGCGTTCATGAGCTTTAGGTAGCACAGCCTCCTGATGCCAGTCCTCGTCAATGGCCGCAGAACGAATAATACTGGGTATGCCCGTGTTGCGCTCGGCATACTCGTCTCTCTCTCGCGGCCGTCTCCGCCATATGCGAACTGTGCAGTCATCCGAGCAGGTCGCGAATCTAGGTCCTGATCTCTCCAGTTCCTCCATGTGTTGTGTTTGCTCGGCTGCCAGCCCTGCCGTGTCTTTCCTGTAGTCCTTTTTACTCATGCCGCTGCCTTCAAACTCAGCCCACCAGACTGTCTCCTTGTGCCCATCAATCATAGCAACCTGCACCCAGTCGTCCGCATCTTCCCTGTACAACCGGACAGTGTCATCGTAGCTCGTGCTAACCAGCAAGTCTTCTTCTGGGTGCCATGCCACGGATTTGACGTCGCCGTCGTGTTCTTGTAGTACGGCGACCGTCTCAAAGTTGTCGTCCTCGAGCTCCTCCCATATCCACACGCTCTTGTCACGTGAACAGGTAGCTAGATATTGGCCCGAGGGCGACCATGCCAAGCACTTGATCTCCGATTCGTGCCCGTCGAGAATACAAGAGAATTGATAGTCGTCGGCGTCGTCATGGTCCGAGACTGTGTCAAAGTTGTCTTCATCCATACATCCGCCGATTTGTCCGCCTGTATCCGTGAAGTCGCGTTCCATGCCACCCACAACACCGCCGCCTTCTTCCCGCCGCCATATCCCCGCGCTAGAATCAAAACTCCCCGTGGCAAGCACGCTCTGCCCCCGCGTGCCGGGTTTCCAGGAAACGGTGCGTACACTGCGTTTATGGCCTCCGGTTATCGAGTGCAGGAGCGTAAAGGAGGTCAAGCTGTACACGCGGACGCTGCGGTCGGAACATGCTGTTGCGACAATGGGGAGAGTGGGGTGGGGCGCCGATTGCCATGTTCGTGAGTTGGATGGCGGTGTGAGGGTTGCGAGAGGGGTGAGGGTGTGTGTTTGTGGGGAAGACATGGTCGAGGGGCCGCCGCGGGCAGGGCGTACGCTACGAATCGAAGCAGCAGCAGCAGCAGCAGCGCGCAATTGGTGATTCAGATCGAGGTAGGGGTAAATAAATATTATGGACGAGCAACGGCGTGAGCTTTGTCTGCTGGTGTCGTGCAGAGCTAGCTTTGAGTCAATCAATCTGGAGAGTTCACGCGTGGGGCATAGAAAGTTCAGATGAGCGTCATTCGCCAAGCCTCCTCCCACCATTGTGGGCCTGCGTTATCGGACGACCTGCATATGAGCCATGCGCTTTCCTGGCCAGATTGTTTCTTCAGATCCATCTTATACGTGATATACATATTACTCTATACATTGTCCTTAACGACTTCAAAACACTTTCTACCCATTAAACCTATTGAGCGCCCCCCCCACAAAGGCCCAGACTCCCCTTCGTATCGTCATCGTATGTCATTATGAAGGGGTATCCCGATTACTCAATCATCCAACGCCGCGCAATGCTTCTGAAACAAAATCACCGTCTACTCCTTCCCATCCTCTACTTCCTCACCCCATGATACCCCGGCCTCGTCACCGCATGCGGATCCCGAAAACCCGTCGTGATACTCATCAGCCTATCTGCCAACGTCTGCTGCTCCGTCTCCGCCATTCCAACCTTGGCACTCACCCCCAACTCACTGAGTTCAAGATTCGTTCCATTTTTTCCCTCATCCACATGGATATTCTGCGTACTCGTTACCATAATGCTTCCCCAGGGATGGCTCGACGGCTCAGGTGCTGACGTCGATGTTGTGGTGTAATTGACAAGTCCCTTTTCAGAACAGGTGTCGGTCTGCCAGCTTATCTCTGTCGAACTCGAGCGTTTGGAGCGCAGAGCACGTGGCCATCTGTGTCCGCGGCTGGACGGTGCGACTTTGGTTACCGACGGCGTGCGGCGTAGTGAAGAGAATTCCTTGTGGTTCTTCTGGGCCAGGATAGCGTGATCGGCACATCCTTCCTGACTCCTCAAATATGTTTGGAAGAAAGACAGCGGAATAGCTTTGAGCGTCAGGCTCTGCAGACTCTGCACGTAAATCTCTTTGATACCGCAGAAGGCGAAGATGGTTGCGTGGCTAAACTCCGTCTGGCCGTGCATCATGTCGAGTTGTTGCGATGAAAAGACTGCACGATGCAGCGTTTCTTCTGGGCAGTCGCGGAGGAGCTCCATGATCCGGTTGCGGAATTTATCGAGGAACAAATCATCTCCTGGGTCTGTCGCTGTGCGGTTATTGATTCGCAACAAACAATCATCCAGCGTGGAACCGTTGAAGGTGGCGAGAATGTTCATTTGTCGTCCGTCAAGCTCGTCGCTGCTTAGCTTTACCATTGGAAGGCGGCCGGGTGCGGCGCGCGGGACGATGACATCTAGGCCCCTCATGCCGGGTTTGGGTTGTACGAGAAAGGAGCCAATGTAGGTTCCTTTCTTGGGAAGTGATAGCTGTCTCTCGCTGAATGCATGGAGGCGTCCGACTAGGTTCTCGAGATCGTCGCGTGGTATCTGTAAACTGCGGGCTAGGTGATCGCTAACCTGTTCAACGCTCGCGAATCCATACCCGAGGTTGTGTAGTCGGTGTGCCTCAGTTGTATCGACTTTCTTCGTAAGTACGAGCATTTGGCCACGGCCGAAGAGGATCGGGTTCACGATAGCCGCTTCGAGGTCTTTTGTCGCCACGTCTGCAGCCACAATGGTCTTGTTGCCGTAGTTGCTCGTCCAGATTGCGCGGTTGTTCATGGTTCCCGTTGTTAACACCTCTTCGTAGAGACATCCCAAGTTATGCAGGCTTGTATCAAGAGTCTTCGCGATATCGTGAGCGGTGACGCAGAACAGCTCTCGAAAGGTAGCTGAGTAACTCAAATCTTCGTCAGTATCAAGAGACGTCCTGCTGTTGCTTGCGTGAGTTGGCGCTTGGAGATAGCCGGTGGCTTGGAGATGCTCTCGCATTTTTGGGATGAGATCGGAAATGCCGGTCCAGTTGCGCGATACTCGAAAGATCCATTGGAATACGGGATGCGAGGTATTGAACTCTTCATCAAAAGTTCTTTGGTGGAATTGTTGGGTGATGGTCTGACACGGCATCAGTCCGCTTTGACTGACGAGCAGTCTTCCTTCCGGGTCGAATGTGGCGATAGCCAAAACGACTTGTGCCGCTCGATTCTTCTCCAGTCGTCGTTGACGCTGCTTGATGAAGCCGAGCAGAAAGCACACAACACACGCGCTCAAGCACTGGTGCTGATTAGTGGTGTATACTTTACTTGAAACAAATGACTTACAAGGCACAGAGAGATGATAAGGTTTGTGTTCCTTTCCTGACCCGGTCCGCTGTGGTAGCCACGGATCTCATACCAGGTACCAGCTGCAGCAGTCCAGTGCATTCCGCACACAGCCAAGGCAAGTACAATTGCCACAATGATACGCCGCCAGAGATTGTTCATCCAGTGTTTGCTCCAGATGAAGAAAAGACTAAACGAGATCAGGCATGCGCCCACGGCGATGGAGGCGGCGCCAACAACGTGCGCCCAACTCAGAATGATTCGGTAGTTAGTAGTGCCGTTGTTGCCCAGATAATGCATCTCAGTGACCGCCGCTCCTCCGCAGACACCACAAACGCCTAGAGATGCGAATCGGACAAAAGATCCTTTACTTCCTTTGTAAAACTTGTCTGCGGCCAGTAGTCCCAGGAAAATAACGACCACGGGGAGGATAGCCGAAACTGCGGTGTAGGTCGAACTGTAGTAAAGCTGGATCTCTTCTTCCCCTTCACCGAGCACGATGGCTCGGTTCCCTACAAAGTGCATGCACCAGATCGCCACCAAACCGAAGGATACTGCACAGCCTCCGATTTGTACCCTGGAACTTGGTTAGATCATTATACGACAACGTGCTCTCAGAACATACCACGATCGCCATCCTGCTCCTGAAACTCTGCGATGCAGCAGTTCTACCGTTGTGAAAGCACCGATTAAGCTGACAACGTATGATCCCACGATGAGCCCTGGGAGGAATGATATGCTAGGTCTGCTCCCAAGAGGGTACTTGGTCGCAATCTCTGGATCAACAAACATTGCAATTCGTATTCCTCACTTGGCGTGTTGGAAGGTATGGTAGTCACGTAAGGCTGAAGATGCGCCTTGTCATACGCTGCCTGATAAGCAAAGGCTGCAGTCTGTCAGTCAGTTATGTTCATTGAACTGCATAGAAGTAGAGATGATCAGGGACGCACCTCCACAGAAGAATTGGATAAAGCTGGGGATCAGCCTGGCGGAGCCACCTGGGGTATGATCGCTCGGTACAGGTTCCAGGGAAGAAGGGGTTAATCACAATCAAGTGATTGGCATCATCCACGGCCGATCGGCGCGACAAGGCGATTCCGGTGTTTCGTCAAAGTCGTCCAAGTCAGACGATATCCAGCTTCCTTCAAACTACGGCTATTCCAGAGATCCAATCGGCGTGTATGCGGAGTCGTTGTGTATAAAGCGCTCGGCCTCCTTCCAGTAGTTGAGACTCTCAATGATCGATCGGAGAGGTAGCCGGGCGAGCAGTGGTATGTAGCAGAAATGTATCTGGGACACGCACCAGTATTGTAGGTAAGTTTGGCTTCCTTCTGTTCTAGACGTTCAGTAGAGAGGGAGAACATGAATATACTTTGGCGCCTAATTAGTCTGGCGCGGCAGGCATGATAGCGACATCCCGTCGCACAGAGTATCCACACCTTGCTGCTGGGACCGATCACAGAGCTCCGCTGTCTCTCAAGCCGAGGTGCCAATGGCGGCAGTTCATTTTTGCTACGCCACACCTCTGGCCCTTGGATGGCAAATGTCGTTTGGAACGGGACACGACCTAGTGGCTCGATAACTGCTACTCGAGTAATTACAAAGTTCAGGTATGGCATTCGGTCTTGATGTTCTAGCCGTTTACGCTGCTAATGTATTCCGCTAGTTATGCGGACATATATCTTTAACGGGACTTAGTCTCATGCCGTGTTACAACCGTGGCTGCTGAGTGCCCAAATGACGGTGCTCCTCTTACCAACGTGAGTGTGCCAAGGAAGGATTTGAAGGGGATGTGAGATGTATGCAGCAGTCACTTGCCGTGGAGATTGCACAGCCAGGAGCGAAGTTTCATCCGGCCTAGAGTTGGCCCGCATATTGAGGTAGAGTTAGCGTGGAGGCTCAACTTTGGTACGTCGGCCGACTGATCCCGGGTTTCCAAGTGACATTGGCGAGAACGGGTAATTTGAATTATTTCGCGACGCCAACACGGCAAGGAGAGGCAGACTCCAAGGGCAAGATGTAGACGCTCATGATGGGGTAGCCCGCGATTTGGCTAAGGTCGGCATGTTACACAACCCTTGATGGTATGTGCCGTGCGCCCAGAGCATTGGTATCACAATCGCCGATCCATTGGATCAAGCCAAGATGTGAAATTATGTATCCTTTCCAGACAGGCTCATGGATTCAATTGTCCAGTCCCTCCCGTCTTCGTGCGTGGGGCGCTTGCAACTTTGCTTCAAGGACCGCTATCACTATTGTTGCACATGCGCAGCGACGAAAACCGTATCATTCGCATGACGAAGACCATCCATCATCAATCCTCACAAGCATAGACTCCAGGCCGGCAACCCGTTCGGCTGGTAAAACTCGGAAGTCCCGACTTGACATGTGTCGCCATCCTCGCGAACTATCCGTTGGTGCGACGGCTCATCGCAAGGTGGAGACTGAACATGGTATGCTTACCTCCGATCACATCTCCTAGGCCAGGACAAGGTCTGTGCCCCGATAGCCGAAATGATTTTCACCCGTGCCTGGGCCTTCCGCGCCGGTGGGGCACGAATCACATCACCTTCATGAGGCTGTTGTTGGAGAGCCCACCAAAGCTGTTGAATCGTTTCCTCGTAGCCTCGTGTTGATTGTGTTACAAGTAAGTCACCGCTGACATGTGACGTATGCCAACTGTCTATGGCATGTTGATCCCATGGTAGCTTTCGTCGGTGTTTGGCGTCCGAAACGAATCTTGGTTCGCTTAATGCAACCTCGGTAGGAGGCGACTGTAGTCATTGGTCGGCAGCGACGTTGACTGACAGGAGAGTTTCGACGGTTCAGTTTGCGCCACATAAGCTATGACCAAGACCCAGTCTATAAGGTGCTGGTAGTGGGAAAACTCTCGTCAAGTCCGTGTAGCAGCAGTTGTGGAATGTGAGGAAGCTGTTCTAGGCGGGCGCACGCTGTCAGGGTTCAGCTGAAGGCGAACGAGTGCTTTTCCCGTCACTTCCGGGACCTGCAGGATGATGTGCAGTTCTAGTTACCAGCCAAGCCATTCTTGGATGGGGGGGTGCGTGCCTAGAGCAAGGGTTTGACGTCGATTCATGCTTCATATTGTGTGCTGGTGGCGGCTTGGGAAAGGGCGTTCTTGTGAGCTGCGATCAACATGCAGCTACTCGGTCATTGTTGAACTATTGTGTTGAACAATGGATAACGCCGCCGTCTGGGGATGAGCCAATGCTCAGTGTATAGCCGGTGGATGAATCATTGCAAATGCCCCAGGTTCTTCCGTCAGTGTGCCACGTGTGACCCCGTTCGGAGATCAAGAGTAAAAATAAACTCGAAGCCACAGCAGCGACTACGTGATGCCATCCTTTCTAGGTGAAACGGCTGCCAACCCACTTCGCCTGAAAACCTGTAGAGGTACGAAACCCTATCATGCGAATGAGAACGCTAGTGAGCTCAAGCCGAAGCGAGCTTCCTTTACTAATCAAGGGTTCAAGACAAATTCCTCGGTTCATTCAACATCATTCTCAAATAGCAGCTGGTTTAGGTTTTCAGGATTTGCGATTGAAGAATTTTCCAAAGAAAGGCCTGCAGTCTGCAATGTACTGAGGCAGTGGTAAGATTCCGCGATGACCGACTGCTGGTTGGGGACATGAAGTGTTAAAAGGACATCGTCATCCAAACTATCAGGCGTCTGAAAGTGCCTACCCACGGAGCAGGATGTATTTGCCATGGTATTCTGGGGGTATGAGTCAAGGAGTAGGTCATCCTCGCTTTCTCGAACATCGATATTCAGATGAGGATTGCCGATAGATCTCCCGTGCTGTTGGTTCGTTTGAGCATATCCGGCCGGTGGTAATACATTGTTGGACAATTCACGCGGACGATTATCCTGGACTGGCGTAGTGCGCCGGGAATAATGCCAGAGCGGCTCCTCTTCTGCCAACATATCGTCCGAAACCGGATGGTCTGGATGAGAAGAATTAATACATGCCTGAATTGAAACCACGGGTTTGTCCAGAAGGCTTCTCTGGGATATCACCCATAAACGCGCCGCGATGGCTAAGTTGTTCTTAGCAGCTTCATATCCAACGATTGGCCATTTGTCGCTTGGGAGACTTGACGAGGTTTCTTGCGCCATCGGACTCAGTCTTTTCATCTTATCCCTAAGCGAGATGGACATGGAGTTTACGCTATCGATTCGAGCAAGGGAACGAGCAATAGTAGGGATCAGACAAGCTCGCTGAGACATAGCCTGCTTAGGGTCAGCCATGCAAGAAGCATCAGTAACGAGATCTTCTTACGGCCAAATACCCGGTTCTCCATATCGCAGGAGCTACGTCTGCTAAGCCTAAACGGAAAGTGCTTGCTTTAGCCTTCCATCCGACTAATTTCCTGTTCAGTGTGCCACAAATCGACAGACGCATCGCCCCATCAACCATGCTCGCGACGTTTATCCGGTCTGATGATGTGAAATCTGGACGTGACCTGCGCTGTATAGAGGAATCAACGATCGGGCGTTGGCGTGGTTGCTTCAATGTTTTGGCCTTGTCGGGTGAGTGTGACTGAGTCGACACCACGGTCTCTGTAGCTGATCGTTTCCGTTTCCGAGATGCAAGTGCCCTCACAGCGGTTTGGCTGCGGTCGGTGTCAATATCATGCAGCAAGTCTTCGGAAGCCATCTCATGCAAAAGCGTATCAGAGTCTTCATCGTCTAAAGCTGATGCTCTTCGCTCGCTTCGAGGTGAATTCAATCGCTTCGTTGTGGACCTCCGGAGCGGGCTTGGCTCGAGGATGTCCATGCAGAGGCGTACCGTGTGGAGTGAAATCTCTGCAATACCCTCGGGCGGTCGAACATCTGCTGCCGGTACATCCAAGAAGAGTCTGTGACGCTCCTTCCTTCCCTGCATCCCCATGACGGGTGCGTGGTTGACATCCAAGCGTATCGTCCCTGGATCCACAGCGGTATCTGTTCTTTGGGTTGGCTTCAACATCAGCTGATCCCAAACCTATGCTTTGTCAATGATGGCCATCTCGAGAGCATCGCACCTACTGGTGCATGAAGGACAGCATCCGCGAGGTCTTGCAGTTGCTTGTCAGGTAATGAGACCTCGTGTAAGTTGAGTCTTATTTCAATGTGCATATGTTGTCCACGTTTGACCCAAGTATTCCCGGACATCAACACATCGAGGCACTGGGATGAGGTGAGTTGCTGTAGGTAAGTTGCGTCCTCTGTTGATGAGACGGTGATCAATGTTGTGAGCCACAGCTCGTGATTAGTGGCAGGCGAGCTGAGTACTGCGCGTCCGAGCTCAATCGATTTCGACATTGGTCTTCAGCTGTATCAGCATTTCTGGAGATGGCAAGAAAGACGACACGATAATTGCAGAAGTCGGTGGAGGAGCTGAGGCCGGGACGGTGAGGTGTCGCGGTTGACGCCAAGACATGCGTTCGGCAAGCACCCTAGAGGTTGCTTCCTCGCAGCTACAGCTCTACGCAACCCCCACCGTCGGCTCCAGCATGAGGAACATCGCCAGCAACGCGCTGAAGCGCGTCGGTCAAGTTGGATCGCTTAAGCATGTCACAAGCCGGTCGTCCGGAGTGCTTGCGTGTTCATGGGCGCGCAGAACTCTCCACGCCAGCCCTCCGCGACGCACCGATGGCGTCTTCCGCGAGCTCACTGCCATGCGCGTGCGTACACCCTGGGTAGAAGCTCTGCGCCAGCAGCAAGCCGAGGGGAAGCAACACAAGGAGCCTTCGGGAAAGCCTGAAGTTCCCAAAGACCGAAAATTGACACC